GCATACAAGCAATGGCAAAAATCAAAGTCTGTTGATGACCAAAAAATTTTCCGTGAGAAGAACAACTATGCAAGACGTCAAGTCGCACTGGCTCGGTCCCTCGATGGACAAAGGAGGATCATTGATTGATTGATTGAATAATTTGCCCTTAACAATTATTTCAATAGTATAAGTCTTATATCCATTGTTTACAAGCAGTTAACTAGTGCGGTTGTTTTTCATCACAAGAGGTTTCCTTCTTTGGTTGGAGTAGTATTTTTAGTTTAATACTATATATTCAACAACGGCAGATAAAGTATGTGGATGGACAAAAGGAAAGTGTAGGCATAGTGAGACCTTTCCAAACACTATCACCACCACAATTACACCATTGCTTTTCCGCCTCACTTCCAACACCTTCTCCACCAATTTTTCTCTCACCATCACACCAACTCTTTCCGTACCATCATCCCCCTTCCACCACAACTTATACCTTCCACCTTGTACCCTCTCCCTTCCATCTGATCTCCTGTAATGCAGCCACGTCAACCATTCTCTTCTGCAACTCCTCCACCACTTCCAAACTCCTTCCTGTCAGCGTGCCTACATTCAGGTACCAAACCTCCAACCCCTTGGTCTACAGGTAATCCTTCCATCCATAGTGCCTTGCACCGCCACATTATAGAGTGGGGAGCCAGTATCCAGATTATCTACAGGGTCTTGCACCGCAACCCCATGGACTGGGTCTCCGGGGATTCTTCGCACCCTCTTCTGTCGGATACTGAGGGCCATTGTCACTTCTGTCATCATAAATATTTTTTTTGGCTAATTTTTACGCAGGACGCCCTTCCTTACGCAACCACAGTTATAAGCGGTGGGCCTAGCTTTTGATGATCCAACATCACTCACAGGACTATGAGGGTCAGTTTAATGTCATAATCAGGACAAAAAAACAATGTTCATCACCCAACGACAAAATAAAACAATACTACCATCTCATAGAATTTTTGAATAACCCTGCCAATAATAATATTAATAATGTTAATAACAATGATGATGGTTATGATATATGAGTCGACTTGAATCTACAAGTACGGTTATTTCTTATAAGAATAGTTTGAGGCGTAAAAATTGTTGTGTTCCTGAATCTACAGCACACAACATTTCTCCGCCTCAAATTAGCCGAAGCTATTCTTATAGAAAATCTGAAACCAATGCTCAACACCCGTCAACAAAATAAAACAATACTACTATCTCATAGAATTTTGAATAATCCTGCCAATAACAATAATAATAATGCTAATAACAATGATGATGGTTATGATGATCAGAAAGATGAAGATGAAGATGATTATGATAATAATAATAACAGAGCTTCCATCAATGAGTGAGTGATGTATATCTTCTACAACTGCAATCTCTCATCAATAAAACTTAAAATTAAATGAATGAGTTAAAAATATTAGGCATCACATTTACCTGCACACTTAATATAGCACCTCATATTAATCACATCATCACAAAAGGTTTTCAAACATTTCACGCATTCAAAACACTTCGCTCACATGGTCTCAGAGGCATCACTGAATCAGTCATCATCTCACACATCAAAATGCAGCTCCTTCCTGGTCTGGCTTTGTTACACAACAACTTCAACAACTACAATTTCTCATCAAGAAAACTTAAAATTAAATAAAATATTACTTAAATTTTCCCCACATGTTTAACCTTTAACGTTTATCACGACAACAAACTATTTAAATTTGAATTTGTTTTTATTGTTCATTATAGAATTAGTTATTTCAATTGTTTTAATTAATTTATCTGTTGAACTAACTAATTCTACATAAATATAATTGCACTGATGATTTTAATTTCTTTATCTAAATATGCTTACAATGAAATTTATAATAAAATATGAATATTAATGATGGTTAATTTAAATTCTCAACATATAGGCATCTAAGGAGCCGTACAAAAATACAATTGACAACGTAAGTATAAGTGAAACTAAAGTTTTGCAAATTCCTAGGAATGTACCTAGATCAAAAATTAACATTTGTACCTCACATAAAAAATATTGCTTCATAGTTCGCCAGAGACCTGGGCTTAATCAACAAATACAAATTTTATCTTTCCACTAAAAGTCGTACGTTGCTCTACAATGCATTATGTCTGCCATATGTAAACTATTGTAATTTAATTTGGGCTTCAGCGTATAAATCCAACACTAAAGCAATTTCTCAACTCATGAAAAGGGCAGCAAAGATTCTCTTAGACAGCTAGCTACCTTCACTCAATAAATTCTAGAAATGTTTCATCACAATCAAATCTCGTCTTCTCCTTCACGCAACAACATGCTTACCATACAAGAATTTTCGTCTTCAAACAGCTAAATGGACTTTTTTATATGCATTCGTTGATTACTTCAAATACAAAACAGTCAGATAAACGCGACAACAAAACTGTATTGTTTTTAAACCGGCAAAAAAAAACATTTTATTTTTTTAGTTGCTCGGGTTCCCGACTCTGGAATAAATTTAAAAAAAAACAACCTAATCTGCAATGTTATATCAAATTAAAAAAGATCTTGAAATCATTCATAAAAGAATATAATGTGTTCTAATATTTTTTAAATTATAATTACCACTTTATTTATATATTAAAATGCTGAATTATTAGAATTTTGTTTTTACAGTTTCACTGTACTCTTTCTGTTTAAAATTACTTATATTTGAGTTAATTCTTTTTTTGAGTTTCATCTCAATCATACTAACACTTTTTTTCCATTTATTTGGAATTGCTGTTGACAAAAAGATTATTTCATTTCAATACGTGACATAAATAACATGAACTAGAAAAAGTTACATGTTAAAGGTCATTCTTTTACGCTCGCTTCAGATGTATCAACGACAAACACACTGCGTATATGAATGCGCGTGAAAACTACGCATCATACACATTGCAATTGATAGGCCGGGATATCTTTGTAATCGAACCCAGTCATTCCAACAGGAAGACCAGGCGCCCAAAAATAAGAGAACTGCCAAAAAGATTACTGTTGGAATAGATTTTGGAACTGTAATCTTTTTCATTTGCCGTTTTTTAGTTTTTTTGATCACAATGTTTGGTGATCACTGAAGTTTCCAAAATGTTCAGGACAACATTCTAATTGGCTTTATTGCACCTTAATGCCCATAGTATATGCTGACAATTTAATAGCATACTTTAAAAAAAAATTCGAATTAATGAGTTTCATTGATAGACATTTTGTCAATATCTTTCATCATCATCATCATCATCATCATTGGGCGGGCTTGTTAGTCACGACAATATTTTTCCACAACTTTTTATCTTTTGTCAACCTGGTCATTTCGTCGGTAAAATGTTCACTGTCAAGATCCAGGTGCTCTAGGTATTTGCTAATCTTCCTTCTGTAGGAGAGATGAGGTCGACCTTTTATATTTGTTCCGACATTCGATTGATAAAGGGCATAGATGTTTGCCAACTCACTTAGATCCACTTGACTTTGGGTTTGGACGATCCAGGATTGTCTTGAGTTTGGTGAATGCAACCCATGCCAGAGTAATTCAATTGTCCACGTTCTTCTCACTTGAAGCTACGTATGACTTGAGGAATTTGAAGTCGTCGACAATCGCTATGCTGCTTGCGTCGATGACGAGTTGTACTTTTTACGCTGATTTGTCGTTTGGTTGGATCTGGACAGTCTTTCCGACATTCTTCTCTAAGCCAATCTCTTTGATGGCGTATAACTGCTGTAATATAACTCGCCTTACAATAGAGCGATTTCAATATCATTACATAAACATATTTGAAAATTTGTGAAAAATTTAATTTACAATATTTTTATTTCAGTTTAACTAAATTATTTTCCTAACATGTTAAAAATGTTATATCTTTAAAATGTTATATAACAAAAATTAGAGCTCCTATGAAAAACTAATGTCATTTATAAAATCTCGAAATATCCTCGCACCAAGATGGTCTATGTCTGTTATATAAAATCACCTATCGTTGTTCTGAGTTCTATAATATTTGACTGTTAAAGATACGCTGAATCTAATAAGCACAATCAATCAATCAATCTTCGTTTTACGTCCAGAGACCCGGTTTCCCGAGGTAGGACGTTGTTTTTTTTGCCATCAGCTTTTTGCGCCAAATTAGACGATCAGTTTCATTTAAATTTAGAGCTTTCATGTCTTGCTCGATTGTTTGCGACCAGGACTTCTTTGGACGGCCTTTGGGACGTATGCCAGGTACTTCAACATCTGCAAGAAAAGTTATAGCACTGTTTCCACTTCGTTTGACATGACCAAACCACCGCAGACAGTGTTGCCGGCATTCGTCCTTTATATCATCTAAACCAGCACGACGCAGGATTTCGGTAGATTTGATGTGGTCCTACAGACTAATTCGTTGCATCCATCGGAGCATTTTCATGTCGGTTCGTTGAAGTTGTTGTTCCAGTTTGGTTGTCATTGGCCATGTTTCTGCACCATATAACAGGACCGGACGTATCACAGATTTATAAAGTCTTGATCGTAGTGGTAGTGGGATGTCAGGCCGCATCAATATAGAGGCAAGGAGATGCCATTTATTCTAGGCTGCACGTATGCGTGCTCGAACGGCAGCTTCAGCTGTTTCAGTACAATCCAGAACATCTCCAAGACATTGAAACGATGAGACTTTCTCTACCTTAATAGCTTCAAAAACATTGCTATTTCAAATTTGTTGTTGTGGATTGATGCAAGCAGGACAAACAAAATTGGACACTTTAGATAAAGTACCAATTATTTTTGAACAACGTTTGTGACACCACTGGTTGTAAGCACATGTAGCACATGTAGATTTGTATTTTCATTTGCAGTGTATGTTGCTGTTATTTAAGGTTTGGATGCTCAGATATGTGAAGCCATCCAATGTGTATAAAAACATTGTATAAGTGGTTGAATTAAATTAATTTTTGTATGGAGTTAAATTTGTTTATTTTACATTCAAAGGTTTTGGCAAATGGACTTGATGTATATTCCAGCCTCATCAAATTTAAGGGAAACATGGGATCGGGGAGTTTATGAGGCTTCAGAAGTCTACAAGGGTCGGATGGTTCGTATATTTATATATATACATATTTATATGAATGTATATATATATGTTCGTGTGTTTGTATGTCGGCTATGGACTCTCAAACAGCTGAACATATTCTAATCAAGTTTTCACAGTATGTGTATATATGTATGTGTATATATGTATGTATATATATATATATATATATATATATATATATATATATATATATATATATATATATATATATATATATATGTTGGTATATAGACCATAATTTTTACAATATTCTATAAATTCTACCGAATGTTTGGCGTTAATATGTTTGTAGTTCGTTTTTTCAATTTTTCTCACTAAAGTTTTTTGGTGAACGTTTAGTTTATTAAAATTCAAAATAAACTTATTTTCCGAATTCATGCTGCAAATAAGGCCATATTTCGATTCCGAATGAATCATCATCAGTGCTTTCTGCTGTTTATATAGGGAAAAATTGACTTTGTCAAAATGAACTTAGATGGAGATTGACTTTGTCAAAGTGAACTTAAATGGAAATTAGGTGTCAGGTTTCTTTATTGGCTGGTCACCTTCTTTGGTCTCTTTTTCTTCATTGACAGCATCATATTCTTCTTTGTCACTATTTACAATGCTAGTTTTTATTAATTCTTTGTTTTCATTGTTGATTACGCGCCGGGTTGGGAGTGAGGTTGTCATTTTTTGTTGTATATTTATTTTTGGTTTATTGATGTCAATTAGGACTGCTTCTGCAATTTTAAGATGCGTGTAGTTGCTGTTCTGGTATATTACTTTGGTGTTACTGTCGAGGATTTCACGGCTAATAGTGATTGAGTGTGTTAGGTCCAAATGAAATTTGATAGCACCACTCTGTTTATGCATTGTAAGCCTTCAACATAGTGAGGTAGTAGTAATCCCGATATATGATTCATGTTGACGTGCACAATCGTCAAAGGGGCAATTAAATTCATATATTACGTGATTACGCTTTAACACAGAGTTATCTCTAGGACTACAATTTTTTTTCAGTATTAGATGAGACGTCTTTTTATTGTTGTAATAAATTCGGAGTTTAACTTTACTAATTGGGTTGGTTGATGTGACATTTTTATTGATTATATATTTAAGAATAAGCTTTATCTATTTTGTATGCAGTTGACATGTGATTTCTGTAATACAAGATGATGTCGTTATCTTGATTGTTGGTATTAGGAAGGTTATTGTTGTCTAGTAATTTGCCTTTAACAATTTTTTCAATAGAATAAGTCTTATATCCAATCCATTGTTTACAAGCAGGTTGGTGACTCTTTTTAAATCAGCATTGCAATTTTCAATATCGGAAGAGTGTGTGAATGCCCGGTTTACAAATGATTTTATTGTGCTGTCTTTAAATTGTTCGGTACATTCACTTTGTCCATTCAAAGTGGACAAAGACTGAGAGGCCACGTGACTGGCCGCAGCATGGAAATCGCAGAAATGCTTGAGCGTAGAAGGATTGACATCTGCTGCCTTCAGGAAACTCGATGGAAATCGAATGGTGTCTGTCATGTCAACTCAGACAGAAAAATATAAACTATTCTGGAATGGTCAAAAGACGGCCAAAAATGGTGTTGGAATTTTTGTCAGAGAACCGCTAGCCCAAGAAGTACTGGATATTAAAAGGATTAATTCACGTATCATGTGGATCAAGGTTCGCATAGAAAAGCAAATAATGATTTTTTTTCTGCATACGCACCACAGACAGGCGAATCAGAAGAGATGAAAAATGACTTCTGGGCTGCATTCTCTGACAGCATCTCAACAATACCAAAATCTAAAACAATCCTGATTGGAGGCGATCTCAATGGCCACGTTGGAGAGAAAACAGATAGTTTTGACAACGTACATGGCGGTTTTGGCTATGGAAAACGGAATAAAGATGGCAACCGCATCCTTGGGTTTGCCCGGAGAATCAAAACGTGGAAGCTGAAAAGCAATATTCATCGAGAAAAATTTCAACAGATTGTCACCACACAGTTAGACCACCAATCGCAAGCCAGTACAGATTGGAGTACATACAAAACCGTTTTGATAAACGCTGCAAAAACTGGGAAAACTGGTACAAAACGTCAGCATGAACGGGACACTTGGTGGTGGAATGACAGTGTACAAAGTGCAATAGAAAAGAAAGTTGCATACAAGCAATGGCAAAAATCAAAGTCTGTTGATGACCATAAAATTTTTCGTGAGAAGAACAACTATGCAAGACGTCAAGTTGCACTGGTTCGGACAGATCAGTGCAGAGAGTGGCTCACTAAAAGCAAAGGTAAACAAATGAAATCTCTGTATCGTATAGCAAAACAAGTAAAGCGTACGAAACAAGACATAGTTGGTGCCTCATGTATCAAAAACGACAAAAATAAGATGGTTCTTGAACAAGATGAGATCAAGCTACAGGGGAGAGAATACTTCAACCGTCTGTTAAACGAAACAAATCTCATCAATGTTAACTTTGTCGCTCCACCCATCGAAGGTCCGATTCCAGACATCACTGTAGAGGAGCTTACAGAAGCTCTGAAAGCTATGAAGGATGGAAAGGCAGCAGGGCCCTCTGGACTCACAAATGACATTATCAAAGCACCTGGTACTGCAGGTATCCAAACGTTGCTACAACTTTGCACAACGGTTGGAAACACAGATGCATTTGACATCGGCGTAGGAGTTCACCATGGCTCGATTCTCAGTCCACTTTTATTTTTAACTGTGATGGAAGAAATCACAAAACCATTACGCATGGTGAAATTTGGATTCTAATATTTGCTGATGATATCGTTTTAACAGCCAAGTCTGAGCAGAATACAGCACAGATGTTTGAAGATTGGAACATCAGACTCGTCGATCATGGATTCAAAGTCAACATCAGCAAAACCAAAGCAATGAACACTGGTGAACCCATCCAATCCACCAATACTGGACGATGGCCCTGTTCAGTATGTAAAGCCGGTGTAGGTAACAATTCAATCAAGTGTCAGCAGTGTAACCAGTGGTGTCACAAACGTTGTTCAAAAATAATTGGTACTTTATCTAAAGTGTCCATTTTTGTTTGTCCTGCTTGCATCAATCCACAACAACAAATTCGAAATAGCATTGTTTTTGAAGCTATTAAGGTAGAGAAAGTCACATCGTTTCAATATCTTGGGGATGTTCTGGATTGTACTGGAACAGCTGAAGCTGCCGTTCGAGCACGCATACGTGCAGCCTGGAATAAATGGCATCTCCTTGCCTCTATATTGATGCGGCGTGACATCCAACTACCACTACGATCAAGACTTTATAAATTTGTGATACGTCCGGTGTTGTTATATGGGGCAGAAACATGGCCAATGACAACCAAATTGGAACAACAAATTCAACGAACCGAAATGAAAATGCTCCGATGGATGCAACGAATTAGTCTGAAAGACCACATCAAATCTACCGAAATCCTGCGTCGTGCTGGTTTAGATGATATAAAGGACGAATGCCGGCAACACCGTCTGCGGTGGTTTGGTCATGTCAAACGAAGTAGAAACAGTGCCATAACTTTTCTTGCAGATGTTGAAGTACCTGGCAAACGTCCTAAAGGCCGTCCAAAGAAGTCCTGGTCGCAAACAATCGAGCAAGACATGAAAGCTCTAAATTTAAATGAAATGGATACAATTGATCGTCTAATTTGGCGCAAAGAGTTGATGGCCATTCAAACAAATTCCTGTATTTGTTTCTTTGACATAGACCGCAGTTTTGAAATGTTCTTCGCCACGGGTGACCAACACTTCGAGAAAAAGTAAACGTTGTTCCTTTTCAATTTCAATGGTAAATCTTAATTTTGATTTGTTTAAGGTACCAAGATGTTGGGTGATTTGTTCAGGGTCGTTATAGGAGATAAAGATATCATCATGATATCTTAATTCATATTTATTAATTATGTGTGTTACAACGTTGTTTTGGCAGATAGCCATCTTCAGAGCCTAGTATTAAGAAATATCTTTAATTAAATTATAATTTAAGTAGTAAAATCGAGAAAGTTAATAAAATTTAAAGAAAATTATAACGTAAAAATAAGATGAGTAACCATTAATTGTGAAAACATAAATAAATGTTACTTTGTAGTAATAATATTGATACTGAGGCGAGTGACAGATGTGGATGGCGTCGAGGGGTATTTCGGTTTCATCATAGGTAGCCAAACGGCAACCCCCGATCTCGGGGAAAATGTCGTCTAAACGTGTGTTGTTGTTTGTAGTAATAATATTGAAATTAAACGATAAATGTTAATTAAAAGAATGAAATTAAATAATACTTATGAAAATAAAATTGCGTTAGTTAATATGTAATAAAATAATTTGACAGGTGTTTAGTGGTGGGTTGATATTAGGTGAACGTCGGTATGATGATATAAAAGTCAATATAAATATTAAAATTTTATTATTGAATTAATAAATAATTGTAATAAATGAAAACTTACAACTAAAAACCAAAATAAAAATTATGTTATTGAAATAAGTAATATAATAAAGTAAAACAGTTTAACAGTTGTTGATTAAAAATAAAAATCTTTAAACAAAAATTAAAATTACGTTATAAAAATAAACATTTTAGCAGTTATTAAATAAGTTAGCATGTGACGTGATCACCGTGGATTTACGAATTACGATGTTCATATCGCTTTGGCACTGGGACATCTGCTGGATTGATTTCGACAGATGTTGCAGATGTCGGTTCACGATAATAAGAGAATAATTGAAGGGTATGGTTGAAACTATTATATTGTTTATTTAATGTTGGTTTATGTTTGTTGATGTACAGGGCTTCAAGGCTTTTGAGACGTCTGAGATTTAATACTGAATCCAATATTGTTGTATTTAAATCCAATATGATTTAAGAGGCATACGGTGCTCGTTGGCCATATGGTCTCTAATGACGCCATCCTGCACATGTATGATGAACCTACAAAAAAGAGTAGTACGCATGTGGCCTATCTAACTTTCTATAACACTGTGTGGCATAGG